AAGACCCTCAGGCCTGTATCGTGTCCAGCCATAGTGCTGCTGAGGCTGCCACACAGACCTTGACGTTCCAGAGTCCAGGAGGGAGTTGGTCATTCCCAAAGGCCTCTGGCGCACAATGGAGACTCGGACCTGGGGTTTGGGCTCTGAGAGGACCAGGTGGACTCACGACCCTCACTACTTCCTGCTATTAAAGTCATTTAATAGCAGGAAGGGGCACATTCCTCCTGGCCTGAGACTTTCTGGCCTCGAGGGAAGCAGTGAGCACCCTGCTTTCTCACGAAGGCCAAGTCAGAGCCTCTGAGCTCCCTTCTTTATCCTCCCAGGGGTCCAGGATCTTGCCCTGTGCTCCAGGGGCACAGGACAGGGTCAAGGTGACCCAGAGGGGTGAGTCAATGTAAGAGGCTGAGAGGGCCCAACAGGTGGTGAGAACTCTGACTTCTAGAATAGCACATGTATACAAAAGGTGTCCAGGAGATGTTTTGTCAGTAAGGGAATGAATGAAAACCTTGGATCAGGCCTTGGCTTCCTGTGACTTTACAGGGTCATCACAGATATGTCATTGCTCTTCTCTGAGCCTCGGTTTACCCAGCTGGAAAACCAGGGGCCCTGCCAGCTGCGAGGCCTGCCTTTTGAAGGGTGCTGTGTCTGTGGTGCTCGGGGTGCTGCCAGGGGAGAAGGGCCACAGGGCTAGCTCTGCTGACCCTCCCCCGCTCCATGGCTGTCTCAAGCAAGCTCAGAGACAGGCTGTGTGTGTGTGTTAGGGACAGGGTCCCCCGGAGCAGAAGAGCTGGTGTCAGTGATCACGGGAGCAGCCCAGACCCACTCTGATGAGTTCCATGCCCGACAGTGACAAGGATCACTGGGCCCAGGTGACAGATCTCATCAGCATCAAATGACGTCTCCAACCAGTTATTTCCTCCGTCACCTTCCGGACCCACCCATCCATGAACAGTCGATGTTGGGGTCTGAAGCTGCCCAGGGGTCAAGGCTGACTTACAGATGGGTTTTCTTGACCTATAGTACTCTGTTTTTAAGAAATCTTGAATTTTAATACTTGGCCAAACCAGTCTCTATTCCCTTTGCCACAGTTGCCACTCCTCCCTATTGCCTTGCACTTGGCAGCTTCCCACACCATGCTGTCTGCCTGACCCCTGAAGGCATCTGAGTTTGAACACTCTGGTCTAGCTGACAACCCTATCTTATGAAGCCTGGAAGCCTGAAGGGGGTGCATACTCCTGGACTGAAGGAATTCTAGATTATCTGAGGTTAGAAGAGCCCTTGAATGCCAAGTGCTGGTTTTCCGATCTCTGCTCTGCTGTCATTTCCCCAGATAAGCCTACCGGGATCAGCCCACTCAGAACACACCCCATCCAGTCCGCCCTTTACCCTGCTTCCTCCGAGTCTCGTCCCTCCTGACACCCTGGTCTCTACCCTGCAGTTTATTCCGTTTGTCTTGCTACTTTGCATGCACCTTGAGGGCAGGGACTTTGTCTAATTCACTAGTGTGTCCCCAATGCTGAGAATAATGCCTGGCACATGGAAGGTGCTGAAAAAAATCTTGAAAAATGGGGGAAATGAGGCCTTAAACATGGTAGCACCGGCATCATATACCCTCCCTGCTGTGATTTCCCTGGGTTGATCCAGGGGCATCTGGGAATCATGCTAGAGTCCCACGGTCACCCAGCAGCTGGCAGGCCACCCCCCTGCACGGGGCTGCCTTTGAGGCCATCCCAGTGGTATATTCTACCCAGAGGGGAGAGGTGGCAGTTATGTCCTTCTGTTCCCCTGCTCCTATTCTTCCCAGATCTGACCTAATGAGTCTGGAATCCCAAGTTCAAATAGACCACAGCATGGGTGCGCAGGAGGTGACTTTTGGGAGCTCCGAGCAGGGCAGGGACCTGGGGAGGTCATGGTGTCTTAACAGAAATGTTCTCAGAGCTGGAGGAAAAAGGGAGGAAGGCAGGGAGCAAATAGCCCAGGGCGGGTAGAGAGGCCAGAACAGGAAACTCTTTTTATTTTTTCCTCAAAGGGAGATTATTTTCTTACATTAGCAAAAACATTTGCTCACCAAAGCTTTTCAAACAATATATAAAAGCATGCGGAAGAAGGTAAAAGGACCTGATGATCTGCCTCCCAGGGCTGAAGCCAAAAACTACGAGCCCCCCTGGGTTCAGATGGCCCGGACTCAAATCATGCCTCCGCCACTTTCCAGCTTCAGGTCTCAAAAGGGCCCCTTAATGTCTCTGCGCTTGGTGTTCTCGTCTGTAAAATGGGGGTGCACTGTCGTTCCTCTCAGTCTCTCTGCCTGCTCTGCTCTTTCCCCCTCCTCCTCCAGTTCTGAAAACATTTCTTTTATGTCACCGCGACCTGCTCTGGCCCTTGAACTGCCCGCACGCTGCAAAAGTCACCTCCTGCACGCCCATGCTGTGGTCTGTTTGAACCTGGGACTCCAGGCTTAATTGGTACCCGCCACCTAGTATTGTTGTGAGGATTAGATGTGTTAGTACGTGGAAGGGAGTTACAACACTGCCTGGCATGTGGTGAGGGCTACACATGTGTTTGCTAGCATGTTGTCATCATCATCATCGTCATTGTGGCCATCATCATCGTCATTACTATCATCTTTGCAGACGGTTCTTTATGTACCAACCTACCCTCCTCTGGTCTTTTCCATCTAACCACCCACAAATCCACCCACCAATCCACCCACCTATTCATCCACTCCATCTACCCACCCATCCACCCACCCACTCCATCCACCTGCCCATTCGTCCATCCACTCCAGCTACCCATCTATCCACCCACCCATCCATCCACTCTATCCACTTATCCACTCTATCCATCTATCCACCCAACTACCCACCCTTCCACCCCTCCACCCACCTATCCACTCATCCACTCTATCTACCCACCCATCTATCCATCCACTCATCCATCCACCCGTTCACCCATCTACCCATACACCCATCCATCTGTCCTTCTCCAATGGGAATATGCCCATGTGCTGTTAGGGAATCTGCATTTTATACTCCACTTTACATTCTGTTGAACAAAATGGCCCTGGTCTGGTTAATAGGGGCGGGTGGGTGGAAACCTCACATCACTGAAGTGCTGTTTTCCTGGGCTCTGCATCCATGGGCAAACCAGACTTTGTCTAGGTGCCTTTGGGTGTAATCAGTGTTGTAGATCAAGAACATTTGTCATCAGATATGTTGGCAGTAAGAAAGATCATTCCAGGAAGATCTGCAAAATCAAAAGTAACCAAATAACTGTTTATGCCATTTTTATGTTTCCCATCTCCCTCATCGGGCTGGGGGTTCCTGGAGGCAGAGGCTGTGTCCCCCTCTTGTCCCATCAGACAGTGTTTCCCTAGACAGGGGTGGTCCTTCTTTCTCCATCTCTCTCTCTTTGCCATGACCCACCCCAGACCAGTGAGCCGAGGGAGTTCTGGTGGGGCATCCTTTATTCCATCCTGCTCAGTGGCCGCACAGAATGAGAGGACCCCATGGCTGTGGAGGGCTGCCCTGTGATTCCTGAGGGAACCTTCCGCCTCATCACCTGCCACGCCCCCACGGAGGGAGCATGCCACCTGTAATCCATCATCTCCACTCAGAGGTCTAATGGACATGTCTAACAAGTCCAACGTGGAACAGCCAAGCCCCCACTCAGCTTGACCACCCCCCACCTTCCAATCTCTCTGATGACAACTCGATCCTTTTTGCTGCTGGGGCCCCAAACACTCCAGTCATCCTTGCGCCCTCTCTTTCTCTCGTACCTGCATCCAATCAGTCAGCAAAGCCTCTCGGTTCCATCGTCAAGACTGATTCAGAATCCAACCACTTCTCACCACCCCTATTGCTACTCCCCAGGACCAAGCGACTGTCATGTCTTGCTTGGATGACGGGGAACAGTGCCCCTGCATCATCTGCTGTTACCCACACTTTCCTCTTGTAGCTTATCGCCTGTCTCCCCAGAATACCAACGCCTCCAGAGCAGGGATCGCAGTCTGCTTTGTTCGTCCCCATCCTGAATGAGTGCCGAATACAGAGCAGGTGCTCGATGAATGTCTGTCAAATGAACGAACGGAAGTCCATAAACACCCTGGGAGTAGGCGGGAACCAGCATTCGCCAGAGCCCTGCAAGGGCTGGCTCCCACCTAACCCTAAAAAGGGGGTTTTCAGAAACGAATCAGCCCCCCTCAGCCCGTTGCTCTGAGCTCCTTCTCAAGTGCCCTCCCCACTGGCTGGCCAAGGATGTGTAGCCAAGGTGGCTTCTGCCACCTCTGGAGTTGAGGTACAAGGGCATAACCTCACCTTTGGGGGGTGGTATGGTGCTGTGAGTCAGGTGGGCACTTCCTGTCGGTGCGACCTGCAGCCCGGATTCTCTTCCTGTAAGGTGGAGATACTAGTGATAATCCCTGGCGTTTCCTCTAGTGAATGCCAGGTGCCAGGTACTGCACCGGGCCTCTCACACTTAGCCCATGTAATCCCCACATCGACCCAAAGAAACAAGTACTATCATTGCGACTTTCATCTTACACGGGAAATGGAGCCGCAGAGCCGTGAACTACCCCAGCGCGTAGGCTGGGCTGCATCGGAGCCCAGGCAGTTCAACTGCATTGGGCTTTGTACACTGCCTGATCTCCTCGCATATGAGATAAGATCTGTAAACTGCTTGGTCCAAGATCCAGTCAACCCTTGGAGGACGCTGACCTCGTTAACAGTGTGGGGTCAGGCACCAACTGTGAGGATGGAGGTGGAGCCAGGGAAGGGGGACGGGGGCTGCTGCCCCACCAAGGGCACCAGCTGAAACCTTCTTCTCCAACCTCCAGAGAAACCTCGGCGCCTCCTCCCCTGACCTCCTGGACTGACAGGCCTGAATGAGAAGGGCTGGGCGTGGAGCCAGGAGGTGGGGACTTAGCTCAGGCAGGCTAATCAGGTCTCGGAGTGAAATTAAAAGGGAGGAGGAAAGCACCGACCCGTCAGAACTCACACTCCTTCCTGGCTACGAGGTGCCCAGGAGGGGAGCTGGGGAGACAGGGCGCAGGAGGGCACAGGATGTCCACACAGAAAGCTGTGCGGCTGTCCCTGAAGAAGCCCACCTACGCAGTGTGTGTGGTGGGCGTCAAGACGTATGTGGATGTTCGCAGGTGAGACCTGAGAGGTGCCCAGCTGGCTGCAGAGGGCTGGGCTAGAAGGAAGGACACCAAGGCAATGGGGTGCATGCCTGGTGCCTGTTCTAACAGCAGAGCAGGTGGAGTTGGCTGCAGAGCCCGGGAGGAGAGAACAGCGTTCACCTCGGGGCGCTGGCTCCTGGGCCCAGGGTCAGGACGCTGGGCTGGAGCCCTGGTAAGAGTTCAGGCTCTGAGGTCCGGTCTGTGCACTCTGGTGCCCAAGTGGAAGTGTGTGGAGCATCGGGATGAACTGTTGCCCAAGGCGGGGAGCAGGCCTGGGCGTCCCCCGGTTTCTTGCCAACGACCTATCTCTCTGAAGTGGAGGGGTGGGTTGTGTGGCAACCTGATCCTTGGAGGCTGACCAGGGCGATAGGCATCAGGAGGGAGTGGTTAGGGGATGATGCCATGAGTTAAAAAATGAAAAGAACTTGCAGCAAGATCTGGAGTTTGTGTTCGCCAGGGTGATGGTGGTGGTGGTGGTGGCAGCGGCGGTAATGGTGACTATGGTGACATCTGAGGGGCAGTGGAATCATCAGCTTCTCCTCTTGACCCAGATCCTCTCTGTCCTGGCTCTGCCCAGATCAGGGCAGGCCCGGGGATCTGGCCCAGGCTCAGTTTCCGCCACCTGGCCACTGATGGAGTCAGACCTGAGGGTCTCTGGGGGCCTCTCCAGCTCCGACAGACTAGCTATGGATTCCATCTTGCTGGATCAGATAAGGCTGGAGCCCCTGCAGATGGGGGGCTCAGGGCAGGAACCCCTCCCAGAGGGGGCTGGGGCTGAGCTCCTATCCCCCTTGGGTCTTAGTACCTGTGTTCTCCCAGTCCAGTCACTGAACGCTGGGCCCGGCTTCCCAGCTGGGCCAGGGGAGCCTCTGCCCCAGAAGCCCTCCCCACCCCGTCTCCAGCCGTGGAGCCCCAGTGACAGGCTGGGGAAGGAGATCTGGGAGCACCGGAGGTCAGAGGTTGGCTGGAGGTCACACTGGGGACCCTGCTGTGGGGTTGGTTCTCTCAGAACTAAGTGGCCAGCAGAGACCCCATTTTCTCTTGCCCCCTTTTTTTAGAGTACATTTTCCAATCACAATTGGCATGAATATTATGTTCGTTTCAGGTGTGCAGCCTAGTGACTAGACATTTATATAACGTATGAAGTGATCGCCCCCATGCATCTAGACCCATCTGACACCGCGCATAGTTACGACAGTACCACTGATTATCGTCCCAGTGCTGCTGTACTTCCCATCCCCGCCCCTTGCCCTTTTGACACAGGGCTGCCAGACTTAGCAATGAGAATTGCAGACCGGTTAGGTTTGCACTTCAGATAAACAGCAATTTTCTTTTTTAGTGCAGTAGTCCTGTCCGCTGTTTTGCCTTCTACGACTTCAGTTACCTGTGGTCGACTGGAAAGATTAAATGCAAAGTTCCAGAAATAAACAATTCATAGGTTTTAAGTTGCGCACTGTCCCCGGTAGTGTGACGAAATCTCGCATCGTCCCCTTCCATCCCGCCTGGGGCGTGAATCATGCCTTTGTTTAGCATCTTCGTCACGTGGCCTCGGCCTCATCTGACGTCGTCACAAGGAATAGAAGGGTGGGTCCCGGACAATGAGATATTTTGACGGAGAGAGAGGCCACAGTCACATAGCTTTTATTTCAGTACCTTGTTATAATCGTCTCATTTTATTATTAGTTATCGCTGTTAATCTCTTGCTGTGCTTCATTTATAAACTAAGCTTTATCGTAGGTGTGTGTGTGAGAAAAGAGCATGGCGTTTATGCATAGAAGCACCAGCCATGGTTGCAGGCACCCACTGGGAGTCTCAGAACCCCCTGCAGATAAAGGATGACTAATACATTGAGTGGAACATACTTGTATTCAAAAAGTCTGCTGTTTGGCTGAAACTCAGATTTAGCTAGGCCTCCTGTGATTTACCCGGCAACCCCGTTTCAATGCCAGGAGAAGGGGAACGGTCTCTAGGGGACCTCCTCCTCCTGATTGCCGACCCCTGTGCTCGCCCTGGGGGGCTGTCTCTGGAAGGTGATTTCCAAACCGCTGGCCCTGTGCGGTGCCCTTGGCTAGGGCCAGAGGCATCTGACTGGGAGCTGGGAGGTCTCTGACGGGGTGCTTGGGAGGGCTTCCCCTCTGCTGCTGGCTTGCTGTCGGGCCTGGGCCACACCACTGGCCCTCTCTTAGCCCCAACAAGATGAGCTTCGTCCCCTCTGGTTCAGCAAAGAGTAGAAGGGCCCAGACTCTGGAGCTGGATAGACCTGGGTCCTCATTTTAGCTCCCTCTACTCATGCAGAGCAACTCTGGGCAAGCTGCCACACTTTTCTGAGCCTCAGTTTCCTCATCTGACAAACAGAGAAACAATAGTAAGCACTTTAATGGGGCAGGAGGAGGATCTATGAGATGTGTGTGTGTGTGTGTGTGTGTGTGTGTGTGTGTGTGTGTAGGGCCCCTTGCATGCTGGGTGTCCCGGGAGTGGGAGGTGCTCACGGCAATGACGGTCCCCTGGGCCCCCTTTTCTCCAGGATCTGCTCTTCCCATCATGCCTCAGAGGGTGGGAGGAGCAGAAGACGGACCAGGGTGCACATGGTGGGACCACAGGACGATGCTGACTGTAAATCTCCTTTGGGGTCACCAAGCACCTTAGCGTCCTCACGTGTGGCCTCTGCCCAGCTGAAGGGGACAAAGAAGTTGTCTGTGTTGTTTGTAGCTGCAGTGTTCTGCTTGATTGTGGGAGGGGCTGCTGCTTCAGGGTCCTGAGTGAGCACTTTGAGTCCCTCAGGACACTTCTGCCCCAGTGTTGGTAGTGATTAGGGTTGTTGCCACCAAGACGCTAAATTAGAAAACAGAAGTTTATTCTGCAGTGGATTGGAGGTCTGCCGTGGATGCAGAAAGGAGAGTGTGGAATTGTCAGGAAAGGTGGGAGATGTGGAGATGGTGTTGTCAACCTAGAAAAGCTTTAAGAGGAGCCTGCATCTCACTCCCAACAAAGAAGCTGCACTCGATAATGAGCTTGAGGCTCCCCTGCCCCCATTGCTAGCTGCCTTGCCAGCTGAGGTCAAATAAGAGGTTTCTATTTAGCCCTGCTGGTAGAAAGGGGAAGGCCCCCAGAAGAGGTGTGCCAGTCACCTGAGTTTGGAGTCTGAATTCTCCAGGGGAGCCTGGGGAGGTGGGCGTGTGGTTTGATGTCATGGGAAGTGATTAATTCTCCCAAGTGCTGAATGGACTGGCGATCTGGAGAAATATTTGTGTTTGGGATAATTGTGTGCCCCAGGGTGTCTCAGCCCAGGGAGCCCTTAGAAATCCCCTGACTTAGCGTGCGCGGCAGATCCTACCCCCCACCACTGCAGTGAGCCAGCTCACCACGCTGCCCCCTTGGGTCTGGCCAGATTGCCCTTGCTGTCCATGTCCTTGCTTGAAGGTGGTCCCCAGAGGACACATGCCAAAAAGAGAGGGGCTGGGCAGCATGGGGAACCCATTAGTGGCCCAGCCTGGCCCTCCTTGTCTTCCCAGAGGCCAGAGCCCTGGGCTGGAGGCTATAATAAATGTTCATTCTTAGGGATGGAGGAGAAGGCTGGCTGGGGTGCGGGGCGGGGACATTCTGGATTTTTCCAGCCTCCCTCAGTCCTGCAAAAGCATCAAAGCAAAAGGGACCCTTTGGATCAGAGGTGCCAGACTTTGGAGGTCACGGTGGGGAGGTGGGTCTCTGTAGGACCTCTCAGAGAGCCAGAGAGAGGATCCAGACCACTTCATTTTGGGGGGGGGCTCCCTGTACAGAGTTATAAAACTTGTGGTAAATATGTTCTTAATGTTTACAGGAGTAAATTAATGCTTTTACCGTGCACAGAGGTACAATGAGGTGTAACTGTGCTCCTTCGTGGTGATTATTGTACAAGATCGATGCCTCACCAATCACCGTGACTGACAGGTTCCCATGGTGGGGCTGGGGCACGGGTTTAATGCCCATGAGGACCTTTTCTCCTCGCTCCATCCTGTTGCCACGTCACATTCCTTTACTGATGTTAAAGTTTAAATTTGAGGGTTCTTGGAGCATAGGAGGCCAGAGTTTCCCATAAGTCCCATGGGGCCATGAGAGGCCTGTGTGCTGTGGACTCTTGATGTGGAAAGGTGTGTGTGTTCTTGAAACAAAATATTGTTCACCAGGGAGGGCCTCGGAGACTGGCCACCCTAGTTCAGGTCTTCCTGTTGCTACCCGCCCTTTCTGGACCAGCTAGGCAAGCTCCAAGGTCAGCCACTCTCTCCCGCCCTCCTCCGCCCCACCGCCCCTCCCCTGCACCCTCTCCCCTTCTGATCGTTTCCAGCCTTGGCATTACCTTCCCCTTTTCCCCTCCCAGCTCCCATCACTTCCAACCTCCAGTTTTCTCTCCTCCTTCTGAGACCCCACCCTTCTGTTCCTCATGGGCTGGGGCCACAGGGCTGCAGGCTTGAGACAAGCCCCCTCTCCCGAGCTGGTGCAGCCTGAGAGAAGACTATTCCCGATGTAAGACATGAGGTGGGGGCCGTTCCCTTGTGATGGGGATTCCTCTTTGATCCCAGAATGCTTTCCCTGTGATGTGCTGTCCTCTGCTCTGTCCAGAGAAGCTTTCAGTCCTCCCTCTGTGGCTTCTCAGCAACTGGTCAGCTCTGCCAAGTGGTTCTGATGCTCAGAGAAGGGGGTGGGACGTGGAGCCAGAAGGACATGAGAGTCAACTCGATGATGGCTGGAAGCAGGACCGCTCTTAGTCATAACTACTGGCCGGGGGGGTCAGCTGGTCCTCACAGACTGTGTGAACTTGGCCATCACTTAGCTTCTCCGAGCCTGTTTTTTTCCATGCTAGATGGCGATACCTGTTGTTTGTACCTGAGAGTTTGGCCCCCACTTGAAAGATGCAGAATCTCATCGCCCACAGAGCCCAGGCACACTTGTCTTCATCTGGCACATGGGGAATCTGTGGCTGAGAGCGGGGGAGGGAC